ATTAGTTTAGGACACTAACAGTTGTGTCTTTGTGGGTATCTTGTATATGTCTTTGCTTAATACTACTATTGCAAATTTGAGTTTGGTAAAGGCCAACCCAATTGATGTGTGGTTATATTTGGAGAAACAGGAGGTACTCAGTAAGAGGTAGCAGTGTACATTACTCATTTCTTACAATAATTTTGTCTGTTAGGGAGGTAGTAGTATCCTAATTATATTATTTAATCAGTGTAACAAGTGCACTGGTTTAACACATATGCTTATGCCCTAAGAAGAGCACTTTTTATGAAACCTTAGTATTTTGAGCTATCTCTGAGATGCTTGCTCTCTTCTGCATTAATTACCCCAATATCGTTCCTCCCAATATTGTGTTTATGAGTCTGTATTTAGACCGTAAGTGAATCTCTGGTTCAGAATCTTTCAGTCACTTTCTCAGAACTAAGGGCACACAATCTAGGGACAGCACCCAGTTTCAAATGCAATTATAAATTCTTTTCTTCATTCTAGGTTGGTATGAGGAACATATGTAATGCATATGGAAGAAAACATAGAATCTGAGTGAGATTCATAAGAAATCCTTATGATAATTTATATTGAGTAATTACTGTATCACTTTGTATTCATATTTATTGAGTAGTTATTATGTTCCTTACCAACTCAGCAAACCAGTGAAGCAGATGGGCAATGTCTTCTGAAAATTTGCATAGTTTGCATAGACATCATGTATTATTTTTGTATTTCAAGGATCAACAGAAAGAATACCCCTTCCATTGGGAGGGGGCTGCTACATGCATTTATTACTCATCTCCAGTGTAGCTATCAGCATTACGAAAAAACTTTATAAGGCCAGCCAAATTTGATTGGTCTTACATTACACAAAATACTATAAATTAGTCTGTGTATACTCTCACTAGATCCTAAAAATTACTTATAAATCTCTAGTGAAGTTCAAATGAATAAGTTCTCTGGAGAGCCTTAGAAGTTATTCATTAAATAAAAAACAATTTAACTGAATGATATTGATGTTATTAGACATCTTAGACACCTGCAGTGAGATGCTGTACATATAAAGACATTACCCTATCGCTTGCAATCTAAAATTAGATATACACAGGCAAGCCAGATAAACATAGACAGCACTTTTTTTTTAAGGCTAAAAAGAAATGATGGCAGAAAGAAATGAAAGAGTGTATCAAAAAGGCAAAAGGTACTGGCAAATACTCCATCTACTGCCTTTTACTCGTAGCCTCTAGTAACTCTATCAGAAGCAATCTAATGCTAAGGTCAAAGAGAGAGGTTGTCTGATTGCCCCTAAAAGTGTCAGAAAGTAGTAGGATTGCTATTATACAGTGTCCTCAGTTTGGAGGTCCAGAAACTACTTTTGTCCAGTGGTTCTTGCTTATCCTTGATTGCCTGAGTAAGTACTAAAAGCCTAGTATCTCTAGGCTCAGTACCAGAAATGAGAGCCCAGCCAGTATGTTAGGAAGCGCTCCCTATGATAGTTTGTGGGGATTGGAAGTAGCATGCAGTAGACCAAAGGCTCTCTGGGGCACACAGCCCTAGGTACCCATGTGAGTAACAGGTTGAAGAGACCCTATTAATCCATTTTGCATGATTAGTTCAAAACCTGGCTGGGGGCTAGGGATGTGGTTCAAGGGGTAAGGCTCCTGCCTAGCAAGCATGAGGCCCTGAGTTCAAATCCCAGTACTGAAAAAAGAAATTCCACCTAACAGCCTTCTCCTTGAATTAGGTAATACAAAGCACAACAAAAACCCACAACCCCCAATGTGCCAGATTTGATGCTAGGTGGTAAGGATACAGATAAACAAGAACTTAAAACTAATTTTGAAAGACAGCTCATGAGCATTCTATTTTAATATAAAGTAGTAAATGTAGTGGTAAAACCCAAAGGAAGGGAAGGTTACCCAGCCTAATCTGGCAGCCAGGAAAGGGTTCTGTGAGTTAGGAAGAACTGGGAGAGTATATACCAGAAACCAAGAGAGTATGTTTTAGAAAAGGTAAGAAAACAGGGCACAAATTCTGTAAGCATTCAGTAAAATGGACCTGAAGAAAGTCCATTGGAATATCAAGAAGAAATGGTATCATTGATGACAATTGACAGGCAGTTTGAATGGAGGTGAAAGAAGCCATATTGCAGTACATTGAGAAATGAAGGTAAGATAAGTCGAAATAAAAAGTATGGCTGTACTTTTTACATCAGCAAAAAAAAAAAGATTTATTGTTTTGTCTAATTAGAATGTTTCTAATCTTCTAGAAAAGAGCTGGTTGGAGGTGAGAAATAGGTGAATGACAGATCAAGGGAACAGGTTCTTGGTTCCAGTTCCGAATCCCACCCTTTCCTCTGAGATGGGCTCTGACTCCCTCTGCTGATTCTACTAGCTCCTTTTTGTCAGGGATAGACTCTGTTTCTAGCTTCTCTTCCACATACTCAACTGTACCTCCCTAAAACATGACAATGGCACCCACTAAATGTCAAGAACCACAGTAGCTTAGAAGGCCTGATGACAAGCTCCCTTCCCAAAGTATTAATCTTACAAAGAATAAATATACTTTTCCAGTGACTAGAATGCTTCTTTCCACCATCCTGTACATCCATTTCCTGTGTCAAGCTGCCCTGCAAGCTGAATTACTAATTGTATTTACCAGTTGGAAGTTTGTTTGTACAAATGGATTTATAAAAAAGCAGTCTTTTGAGAGTTATTTAATCCAGGGTCTGGTGAAACCTGATGGTGATAACTCACTAGTGACTGAAATATTCAACCCACCGTAGACTGTGCTTGCCAAACTCTTGCTCTCTAACAAAGTGTTTCAGACTCCAAGCAGACTATTCTTTTCATCTTTATTGTTTACAATGTTTTAGTGAGGTCCACCAGAAAATGTGCCCTCATCTTTTAACAGAGTATATGGAAAGCCATGGATAGTTAGTCTTAGTAATTATGTCTGGCTTTTGGTTGTTTTAACTCTTGGTGTAATCTTTCCCAGTTATTGGAGGAAATCTCCCCCCCCCCCACCTTTTTTAAAACTAAGTACACCCCTTCTATATTCCTTCTAGTACATCTGTTTGGGTTGTTCATATTGCCTGTTTATTAATTTAATGAAAATACTAAAATGAACTCATGATAGAATTTTTATTTTGAAGAAAACCAATTTAGAATAGAAAATTGTCACAGTCTGATAAAAATGCTAGGATTGGGTGTTTATTCCACTGATTTTAATACCTGCATTTGTATAATTAACAGAGAATTCACAAGCTTCTTTAGGGCAAGAATTTGTTTTTGCCCTCTTTGTTAGAGATAGAGTATCTCCACTGGGTAGGCATTTATGAATATATTGATGGATTGATTTTTAACCATAGAGTTCTAATAGACTGCTGATTCGTTTAGGTGTGTCTTCCTAAAGAACAATCTTTAAATTTTGCCCTTTTGCCTAATAAAGTACTTGAGGCAACAAGTTTTTTTTTTTTTTTTTAAATAATGATGTCCTCTTCCTACCAAGACACGAAACAGTAGCACTTGTGTTGGATTCTGTTGGTTTAAGTTCTAATTAAATGAGAACAGATATGTAATGAGGCAATATAGTGAGTATGCATTCACTGAATTGAAGAATGAATTGGGCATTTAACTTGAGTCTGTTCTCTTAACAGTAAAATAAAATTATTACTACTTGCCCACCTCCCACACAAGATTGCTGTCAAACGATAGGATGTTTATGCAAGGGCTTTAAAAACTGTAAAAGCACATTACTGTTTTAAAATGCAATTTATATGTTGACTTACTGTCGTTCTTATAGCTGGCACTTATGGCTATCAGTTCATTAAATACAGCATTTCTATTAAGGCCCATGAATCCTGTACAGAATGCTTTTAAACACGATTGTGTTTCAGACTACTATGTTCCTAATTTTGTTTGGTTGCGGAGCACTGGTGCCCATATACGAGTGATTGTGAGAAACTCATACTTTAAAGGGCAAAAAACCAGTTTTTCCGAGTCTTGTTTTCTACTGCAAAGTCATGTCTGAAATAGTCCAAATCAATGACTCCAACGCAACGCCTTAAGGTAGTGACCACGGATCCCCCAACATGTTTCCCAGATAAATGCCACTTTGACCAACAACGTCCAGCGAAGAGAGCTGGGCTGTGAAAACAGAACCACGACAAGGACCCCAGGAGCTGCTCCCCTCCCCCCGCCTTTTGGGAGCGCTGCGGGGCAGCGGCGGGGTTCACGCCCGTGACGGTTGCGTGGGTTCCCGAGCAGGCGGCAGGACCCGCGGCCAGTTGGAGTCAGCGAGCGCCGCGGCCGTTGGGGACTCCAGCTCCCAGCAGTCATCGCTTCTGCAGCCGACGCGCGCGGCGGCGCTGCCCGCTGGGACTCGTAGTGCGGTTCGGGTAGGAGAAAGGGGCAGCCGCCTCGGCTCCCTCCACGCACTTTTCGGAAACTGCGCTTGAAGGGCCCACGCCAGCCCATCCGTACCCAGCGACCATCTGGGCAGAGGGGCTAGCTGATTAGGGCCCGCCGAGGCGGGGAAGAGGCCCCTGCCGGTCGCACACGTGGGGGGTAGTTGGCGCTGAGAAACCCGGAAGCCCCACGCACCGCCCACCGCCGCGGTGACGGGTTAACGCTTCTCAGGGTGGGGGTGGGGGCGGGACTCCTCCGAGGACCGCCCGCGAGCAGCTCTCCCCTCCCCCACCGCCCTGCGCAACGCGGGCCCTGCCCCCGGCCGCGGCGCGTGCGCAGAAGCCCCGCCCCGCCCTAGTCCCACCCCCACACCCGCAGCAGCCGCTGCCGCCACCTTTCCCTTCCTCTCTGGTCTTTCCTCCTCCTGTTTTCTCTTCCCTCCGCCCCCTCGCCTCCTTTTCTCCGCCTCCTCCGGCGCTGACGCTCGCGTAGGGCCCTGGCGTCAGACGCGCGGGGGCGGGGCGAGTGCGGCGGGGGGTATAAGTAGAGGGTGCAGGAGGCGGTGCTTCCCCTTCTCCCCGGCGGTTAGTGCTGAGAGTGCGGAGTGTGTGCTCCGGGCTCGGAACACACATTTATTATTAAAAAATCCAAAAAAAATCTAAAAAAATCTCTTAAAAAACCCAAAAAAAATTTACAAAAAATCCGCGTCTCCCCCGCCGGAGACTTTTATTTTTTTTCTTCCTCTTTTATAAAATAACCCGGTGAAGCAGCCGAGACCGACCCGCCCGCCCGCGGCCCCGCAGCAGCTCCAAGAAGGAACCCAGAGACCGAGGCCTTCCCGCCGCCCGGACCCGACACCGCCAGCTTCTCTTCCCAGCCGGCAGCCGGCCACCCGCGGCAGGGGATCGACCCGGTTCTGCAGCCGTTGAGTAGTTTTCGATTCCGGTTGATTTTTGTCCCTCTGCGCTTGCCCCCGCTCCCCTCCCCCCGGCTCCGGCCCCCGGCCCCAGCACTCGCTCTCCTCTCGGAAAGGTCGCGGCCTGTGGCCCTGCGGGCAGCCGTGCCGAGATGAACCCCAGCGCCCCCAGCTACCCCATGGCTTCGCTCTACGTGGGGGACCTACACCCCGACGTGACCGAGGCGATGCTCTACGAGAAGTTCAGCCCGGCCGGGCCCATCCTCTCCATCCGGGTCTGCAGGGACATGATCACCCGCCGCTCCTTGGGCTACGCGTATGTGAACTTCCAGCAGCCGGCGGACGGTGAGAGCCAGGCCCGAGGGCAGCGGGCGGGCGGGCGGCCATGAGGCGCGGGCGGCGGCGGGCGCTAGGCCGGCGGGCCCGCGGAGGGGGCGGCAGGCATGTCAGCCCCGAGGACCGGGGGGGAAAGGTTCGGGCGGTGGGACCCCCGGCCGGGGCACCGGGACCCGCGATCTCCTGCCCGCAGGGACCGCGCCGCACGCGCCGCGCACGCCCCGGCTACTTCCTCCTTTGCGACCATTTTCTCGTTCTCAGTCGCTCTCAAACTTTAGGGTGATGACGCGCGGGGCGGGTGGGTGAGGTTCGCGTCTTCACTGTGATCCCGCCAGAAAGCTAGGGTTCCAGAGTGCTGGGCTCCCTTCTCGGGTGATCAGCAGAGGTGCTCGGCCACCCTGGGCTCCGGCCGGCGCCCCGGCCTGGGGAGGAAGTGCACATTGCGTGCGCGGAAAACACCACGTGTTGAACCCTGTAACCTCCCAGGCCCGAGGCCTGCGCCTGCCGGTGGCCCGAGCTCCGGGCAGCCCCGAGGCCTTGGGGGTAAATTCGGGGCGATGCGTGGTGGTGGTCCAGCGGTCTTGAGGCCAGCCACTCCATTCCTACGCATCTCTGCTGGTGGACCTGAGAGGCAGATTATACCTACGAGATGCGGATTAACAGCACGGGGTGGGAGGAGGCGATGTGGAGCAGACTCTTGAAGGTAGTTTCTCAAACTTAGATCATTTAAATTAGACCTAACTTTCTTAGTACTGGTTATTTGTTCAGTATATTTTCTGTGGGTTTTGAGGGGGTTTTCTTTAAAATAGGCTGACTAATTTTGGCTGTAGATGTTAGTGTATAACCTGCCTTGGACTATTAAACTTAATCTGTAGCATTCAGGTAATTAAAGTTTCTTTTATTTTTAAAAGTGGTCCAAGATAGCCATGAATCTTGGGGAACGATCGAATACAAAATGAGTTCATATTTTTATATTAAAGTAAACCGTTTACAAAAAATTTAAGAAACAGATAAAATCTGTGGCTGATGAGTTGCCATAATTTTTATATATGGTTCAATTGACTTCAAGAAGTCAGCTTCACTTGCTATGACCCAGTTTTGCTTTTCTTTCCTTTGACTTCTTCAGCTTCTTGCATACATACCAAATATTCTAAAATATGAGCTCATCTTTAATAAGAAAGGCCTTCAGGGTGGAATAAACAAGTCCATTTAGTTAATGGTTAGTGACCAGTTTTTCACTGGGTAAAATTAATACTGAGATTTTGGGTAAGCAGGAATAAGGGAGCCCAAAGTTGTAAAACTACACTGCAGATTTCCTGTCCTTTTGCTTTGTGAGCAGTCAATCCAAATACCACTTAACAGTTCTCTTGGCAATATGTGTCACTGGGTATAATTAGTAAAGATAACTTTGGGGCAAGTAATCACAACCTAAAGAGCTGATAAAAGAAAACTTGAATGAATTAAAGTGGTATCTTGAAAGCGTTACTCTTTGAATTTAAGGCTTTTAAATTTAAAAAAAACAATTTTTTAATTCCTTGGAATTTGAAAAGTTGAACTTCAGGTTACCACGGTTACAGTACACTCTAGTTCCAGTTTGTGCCAGTAGACCAATAGTATTTTAACTGTTCAAAAGTATGTAGCATTTTTGATCTATTTATTTCCTATATTTGCAATATAGTCTATCCAGTAGCTTTGTTTTTCTTTTTTTAATTTTTAAAAAATTTATTGCTGCATCAACGGACTTAATGGAATGGCTTCTGAAAGTGATCACTGTTCAATTTAATAGGAAGAGGTGGGTGACTCATTTAAAAGAAACTCAAGGGAAGTAAGCAAAAAAAAAAAAACTAAGGAACTGAGTAGGTGTGGTCAATTGATAATGAGCTCATAGCTGATTGTCACTATATTCTAGAAAGTGGAACTTGCATTTATAAAAAGAAATGGCCAGAAAACTTGTCCTGTCAATAACTTTACAGCTAACATTTGGCATGAAATTTGTGGGAATTGTTTCAGGATTTAAAATTGGCTCTATCCCCCATCCCCCCCCCGCTTTTAGGAACTTTAGTTCCTTTAGGAAGCTTCCTATAGGAAGCTATTTTTCCACGTAAGAGCTTTAGTAAGTGTTTCTTTAATCATTCAGGTATACATAATTGAATCCTTCATAGATTCTGAGATTTATAGTTTGAAGTTTTCTAGCAATAACCAAAAATAACTTGAGTAAACCAATGATCTTAGATAAAATTAGTTTAATGTCGAAAACACGAAAAGTGAATTTTGTATACCTGATATTTAAAAAGTTATGTGATCATTATGCAATTAAGCATGTCCAACTTCACATTAGTTTTTGAATCTTATAACCTGTTTGGGCATACAATCAGAAAAGTTGCTTTTTCAGACTGTTGATAATCTGTATGTGCCTGGTCTTTTTTATTTTGCTCCTTAAACAGATTGTATGTGAAAAAATCTTGGCTTTATTTATGTTGACTAGGATCAAAAATACAGGCTTTTAACTTACAGGCAATTAAAGGATGAGATAGTTTATTAGCAATATGCATCCTTTAATATATGGGATATTTGGGGCTTCTGATCTTTGGTCTTTTTGTATTACACAATTTTAATTTAGTATATGGTATTTGAAAGTCCAGCCATCTTGAAGTTTAAGGAGGAAGAGTTAAACTGAGATCGTGTGTTCATCCCTTCACCCTCTGTGGTTAATTCAGTTTTTAAGTGGTAAGTGAAAGTTTTGAAGTAATACTTGCTCTTACCCTGCAAATGTCTGTTACAGCGGAGCGTGCTTTGGACACCATGAATTTTGATGTTATAAAGGGCAAGCCAGTACGCATCATGTGGTCTCAGCGTGATCCATCACTTCGCAAAAGTGGAGTAGGCAACATATTCATTAAAAATTTGGACAAATCCATTGATAATAAAGCACTGTATGATACATTTTCTGCTTTCGGTAACATCCTTTCGTGTAAGGTAAGCAAAACGTGATAGGTAAACTCTTGCAGTGTTTAGCTTTTAGTTTAGTCCTTAAAAATGAGAACTCTGCTGTTAGTGACTATTATTTCCCAAATACCTGTGGTTAGGTAGCTAACAAATTATTTCTGACCACTGGAGAAATGTTAAGTCATTAACAAGTAATAAAAAGTGAGTGTATGTTTTTTTCCCTAGGTGGTCTGTGATGAAAATGGTTCCAAGGGCTATGGATTTGTACATTTTGAAACACAGGAAGCAGCTGAAAGAGCTATTGAAAAAATGAATGGGATGCTTCTAAATGATCGCAAAGTGTAAGCATTAAGTAATTTCAAATGTTTTTAGTGGTGTTAGATTGATTCATTTTAAAAGTTGATGTGCTTTTGCTCTGGATAATAAAGAGATACAGCTGGAGTAAAAATTAATAAGCCACATCTGATAGGATTCAGACCTGTATCTTCATATTCAGTGTAAGTTACAGATAATGGTGGTCAATATTGGAATATAAAGCTTTTTCTAAATAAATGAGTTAACCAAGAATCCTGACAAACTTCCTGAGGAACTAATTCAGCTCACTCATAATATACTGTTAGTGCACATGAGCTGACTGACACACCCAGTGGTCTAAATTCAGAGTTTATTCCATGTGGCTATACTGCTGATAACTGGCAATTTATTGATAGCAGTATTAAAACAAAACAAAATTAAATCAGAAGTTTTTGTGATTATCTTTCCTGAGAGATAACTAAGTTGCAGACTTTATGACACTGATAAGACCTCTGCAACACTTTTTTTGTTGTAGTTTTTTTTAATATTGTACTGGTGTTATACCAGGCTGTATGCTAGAGTACAGAAATGGGAAGTTTAAATAGGAGATGATAAATTAAATGCAAGAGCCACTTAGAAACAGAATTGATAAAAAAAGAAGCTTTTATTGGGACTGTTCTTTGGTATAGAATACGATCATTTCTATTGATAGACTGATCCCTTTAAACCCTGATTTAGATAGAAGAGAGAAGTGTGTATTAGAAAAATGTTCCTCTGTTGTGATTGTAGGTAAGGAGTTTATAGGCTATGAGTGTGACTCAAGTACGTGTATAGCAAGTGCAAGGCCCTATGTTCATACTCCAGCACTTGGGAAGATTTATTATTTACACAGTTTGTATACTTGTATCTTTATTAAAGACCCTACTTCTCTATATTGTAGTGTGCTTTTTATTAGAGCTTTTAAAATTATTAGAGCTATGAAGTCAGGCTTAATTAATCTTACCTTTATAAAATAGAACCTAATGTTACAGTCCTTACATATTTTATTAGATTTGTTGGACGATTTAAGTCTCGTAAAGAACGAGAAGCAGAACTTGGAGCTAGGGCAAAAGAGTTCACCAATGTTTACATCAAGAATTTTGGAGAAGACATGGATGATGAGCGCCTTAAGGATCTCTTTGGCAAGTTTGGTAATGTGTCTGAACTAAATTTTTACACTTGAAGTTCTATGTAATTGCTTAAAGCTTAGTTCTGACTAAAACTTTTGTCCACTTTCAGTTAAAGGCTAATAGCTTTGGATTTAGTACAGTAAGGTATGGCTAAATAGAGCAGATTTTAAAAGATTTGCTACATTAGATGCTGGGCTTAAAAGTACTCATAGATGATGTAAGAGGAAAAAAGTGAGGTCATGTTTTACATGTTTAACCCCAAATTCTCTGTAACCTTTTGTATATTTCACCTCTTGTGTCTGATTTGGCTTTTAATTAGTGGCTATGTCTAAAGTTGGGTTTTGATAACCACTTCAAATGAATGATGTTCTGTAAGTTGACTACCAGTTTATAAATACGTCAGATACTTTTCTTCACTTCTGTATAGCAAGTGATTTGAAGTATGGCCTTAGAAGAGGGCACATTAAAAAAGGAACAGTCTTCTTGTGCCCATACGTTTTCCAAATTTTCGATAATTACTGATTTGTAACCTTCTTCTGCCCCACTTTACTGAGGTACACTCACCTCAGTTAAGTGTCTCTTCCATTTGAAGAAGGGATGAGGAGAAACTTGTATCTTTAGAAACATAGCTCCTCATTATTTTTTGCCAGAGGGTCCAGCCATATATTCTCTCCCCTCCTATTGAAAAGCAGATTGGCCAAGGAAACTTTAGGAGGTCTTACGTCTTAATTCTGAGATCAAGAAAATCAAGTTACTGGCTAACAAAGCAACTCTTAATAAAGCAAAAAATAAAACAACTTATAGTTGTGTAAAACATAAAATGGAAGGGTTTTTTTAGGGGGAATATAAAGTATTTGCTTTCTTAGTAGAAAAGGGCCTTTGAAGAGAATAGTGAATGTCTAGAGTATGGGAGCTTGCAGGAATGTCTGGAGTCTTGGAATTGTTCATCATTTCCCCCCCCATGGCTTTATTTTTACATGAAATGTGAAATGTGCAGACTAAATGTATGAATATCTTTGAATTATTGGAAATTTTTTTAGGACCTGCCTTAAGTGTGAAAGTAATGACTGATGAAAGTGGAAAATCCAAAGGATTTGGATTTGTAAGCTTTGAAAGGCACGAAGATGCACAGAAAGTAAGACTTATATACAGTATTAAATGCAGTATGGTCTTTCTGTACTCTGAAGTGAGGAGGGGACATAAAGTTGAGTTGCTCCTGTGTTGAAATTTATATATATACACGAATGGCTATTTTATTTCATTATTTTCATTGTATGCATTAGTTTGAAAGTATAAATTGGGCATACCTGGAGAGTTTTGGAATGGGGTCTATCTTTAGCTTCTGTAACTTAACAGATATTCTTTATTGCTAAAGAAATGAATTTTTATATTACAAGTTACTAATTAAATTTTTTTATGATTTCTGTAAGGCTGTGGATGAAATGAATGGAAAGGAGCTCAATGGAAAACAAATATATGTTGGTCGAGCTCAGAAAAAGGTGGAGCGGCAGACGGAACTTAAGCGCAAATTTGAACAGATGAAACAAGATAGGATCACCAGATACCAGGTTCATTTTTAATTGAACAAGCAAAATAAGACAGGGATGAGGAAACCTATTTTACGTTCATTTCAGTTACTGCCAGGTAACTGAGGGCTTGAAAGGGGAGAAGAAGAAACATGGGCTAAAGCAATAGGAGGAAGTGTGCTTGTGTGGCATTGTGATTTCCTTTTTCCTTTTAAACAGTTTTCTTTCATTCTCTTTAGGGTGTTAATCTTTATGTGAAAAATCTTGATGATGGTATTGATGATGAACGTCTCCGGAAAGAGTTTTCTCCATTTGGTACAATCACTAGTGCAAAGGTAAAAGCATGTGCATATGGTAAACTTAGATAGATTGACTTGGGGAAACTTCCTGCATGTGCAGTGTTTGCTTATTTTGTAAACAAATAGTCATAGTTTTCTTCCGGGGGTCTGGAGTTTCTTCCAGGACCAAAGTTTAAACTGAAGGCTTTGCAAAGCAGACGCTCTTACCACTTGAGCCACTCCCCCAGCCTAACATTTAAAGTGGATGTTGTACTCTTAATGGCCCATAACATTGGTCCTTACATGATATACACACTATTCCATGTTCTTGCAATTCTGACTTACTTAGCTCCTTCTGAGTAGTTGAACTCCAGCCTCTCCAGCCAAGTAGAAGAGGTATAGATCATATTTCCTTTTATTTCAAATCAGATATAAAGAGACAGGAGTCTAGTCCAAATTCTGAAATTCTGACTTAAGAACCTCAGCTCTAGATGTTTTTGTCCAGTGTCCATGGTCTGAGAATGAATCCCTCTGTGCAAAGTTTTGTGCAAATGTAATTTTGCTGGGGTGGGCGAAATGTGCACAGAAAGAAGTTTTAACTGACCCTGTGGCTGGTCTTTGTACTCAGCTTTTCCTGACTAACTCCACTGAGTAAGGGATCTTCTATTATGGATGAAAAATGAAGGGCAAGGTGGATGAATACAAATAAAAACTGCAAATGGCATGGGTACCTTGTGTTTTAGCCTGTGCTTTTCTAAAGGTACTCAGTATGTGATGGAATGTTTTCCTGCGTGTCTTTCCCCAGTATAGTCCCTGAAAATTGTTTGATTATTATGCATGAGTTTCTTGTGTGGGATGCATGTTCTTCAAAGGACAATTCAAGTTTTTTGTTTTTAAGACCTTTGTACTCTACAAAGGTATATATATCACTGACATTGGAGGGAGGTGAAAAGGTTGACAAATTATTCTGGAGGCTATCATTTGTTAATAATTAAACTAAAACATTTATCAAGACAAAAAAGGTTAAATGTGAAAGGTGACCACATCCTCTGTTTGGGTATTTTCACAATGGAAATTCCATGCCTGGATAAGTTTCCATACTTTTAACAGGTTTCATTATATGCTTACGTATATTTAAATTGTTTTTTTTAAATGGGGTCATACTGCATATGTTTTGATTTGCCTTTTCCCTTACTAGTGATCTAGATAGTTAGCTATTTCAGGTATTTTCTCATTTTAGCATACTTGTTTTGATAAACATTTGGGTTTGCATATTTCCACTGTTAGAACCATTTCTCTAATAATTACATTTCTAGAGTTGGAATTGGTTAGTAGTAATGTGTATTTAAAATTGAGACAACCAAATTGTACCAAAAGGTTGGAGAAATTTCCAGTGGTCTTACAGCTGTCAGTTGTGGTTCTCATCTTTTCAATTTTTTGTTTGTTTGTTTCTGTGGTACTGGGGTTTAAACTCAGGGCGGCCTTCACCTTGAGCCACTCTGCCAGCCCTTTTTTGTGATGGGTTTTTTCAAGAGGGTCTCAAGAACTATTTGCTTGGGCTGGCTTCAAACCTTGATCCTCCTCATCTCCTTGTGGAGCTAGGATTATAGGTGTGAGACACCAGTTCCTGGCTTCATCTTTTCAGTTAATTTAGTGATATGCTTTCATCTGTTTACTAGTTTTGCCTTTTCTTTGCATATTTTTATAGTTGGTGTCTTAACAATTTAGGGAAGTTTTTATGTTGCACATACTTCGTTTGACATTACCACTAATGAGTAAATAATTGGGAATTGAATATTGAATTAAATATGTAAAATCCTGAAAACTTGCTGTTGTATGTCTACTTTCCCCAGCACTTTTGTTTGGGTAGTATAATACTTATGTGTATCTTGCCCTTAATAGTTTAGTGTAAAGGAAAAATTAATGAGCAAGGTGATTTACAACCTTAACATGCTTTAGTTTGATTGAGAAGGTAATGGCCTCCTTTCTGTACCTCATTCTACCAAGACGTTAGCTTCCTTTTTTCTCTTGATAGGTTATGATGGAAGGTGGTCGAAGCAAAGGGTTCGGTTTTGTATGTTTCTCCTCCCCAGAAGAAGCCACTAAAGCAGTTACAGAAATGAATGGTAGAATTGTGGCCACCAAGCCATTGTATGTAGCTTTAGCTCAGCGCAAAGAAGAGCGCCAGGCTCACCTCACTAACCAGTATATGCAGAGAATGGCGAGTGTACGAGCTGTGCCCAACCCTGTAATCAACCCCTACCAGCCAGCACCTCCTTCAGGTTACTTCATGGCAGCTATCCCACAGGTAGGTTTTAGGAAGAAACAAAAACTTCATGCAGGTTTTCATATTGTTGATGTGTTTTGTGCCTCCCAAAAATAATAAAACTTTTAAGTGTGAATTAAAATAAAATTGGAAAAAGGCTTAAGAGTGTTAGGGGGGTGGGGTAAATATTTGGAGAGAATAAAACTACTGGCATTTTTTACATGTTTTCTGAAACTTCCTTGCTTCCTTTCTAAAGACTCAGAACCGTGCTGCATACTATCCTCCTAGCCAAATTGCTCAACTAAGACCAAGTCCTCGCTGGACTGCTCAGGGTGCCAGACCTCATCGTAAGCCTTTTGATTTTTTTTTTAATCCGGTTGGGAATTAGGTTGAAGTATGCTCAGGCAAATTGGCTGTTTTAACTGTTGCTCGTCATAATTTGTTAGTATAGATGTTGAGATGCTAGCATTTTGATTCTCTTGCCTCAGCCTACCAAGTTCTGGGATTACATGTGTGCCACCACCATTCCTAGTTTTTTTTTTTTTTTAAATAGAACCCAAAAAATGCTTTTGCCATTTAATATCTCAGATATTAATAAGTATTTGTCATTGTATGAGTTAATGTTTTTATTTGCTAATGCTCTTATGTGATTAAGTATGAGAAAACAGCAAGTTTGAAATTCAGCTTTAAAAAAAATTTGTCTTTGATCACTTACAGACTTTTGTGTAAACCTCAGCTCTAAAACAGCAGTGTAATGCTTTTACTCAGTAAGGCTTACCATTTTATGTATGTTCATATCTTTAAATGTAGCATTCCAAAATATGCCCGGTGCTATCCGCCCAGCCGCTCCTAGACCACCATTTAGTACTATGAGACCAGCTTCTTCACAGGTTCCACGAGTCATGTCCACACAGCGTGTTGGTGAGTCTTTAACTTTACTGAAAAATTGATCTCCAGTTTGAGATAACAGTATAAAAATACAAAACTAATTTATTTCTTAGCTAACACATCAACACAGACAATGGGTCCACGTCCTGCAGCTGCTGCCGCCGCAGCTACTCCTGCTGTCCGCACCGTTCCACAGTATAAATACGCTGCGGGAGTCCGCAATCCTCAGCAACACCTTAATGCACAGCCACAGGTCACCATGCAGCAGGTATGAGGGAGTTCAGAGAGGCGAGGCCAGCTGTGACACGTGAGCGCTTAAGCTACCGGGACTCCTTACTAGTTCATGATTGAATGAAGAAGCGTTTTATGAGTCCAGAGAATACTGTGCGTAAAGAGAATGGAATTCTTTAGTGTGATTATATATTACTTACATGGGTGTTAATAGCTGCCTCAGCCTGTATTTGTAATTCTCAATTTCACACCCATGATTGTTCACTGATGACTGCCTATTTGTATGTTATTACTTCATTCTTAAAAGTTTTCCTATTTCATATCTAGCCTGCTGTTCATGTACAAGGTCAAGAGCCTTTGACTGCTTCCATGTTGGCATCTGCCCCCCCTCAAGAGCAAAAGCAAATGTTGGGTATGTATCTTTGTCCCACCTTGACAGAGACTAGAAAGTACAAAGATAACTTAAAACACTTAGCACCTAAAAATGACAGGCTAGGCAGTAGAGCAAACTAATAATCCTAGAAAGCTAGTAAGAAAATGTGATTTTGGAATGGACTAGGTAGTAAGGCATTACTGACCATGGATTCCACTTCATTTTTGGAATAAGAAGCTTGAACCTTTGACCTGATCTGAGCACAGATCAACTTCATAGTATCTGACAAACTGATACTGTCAGGACTTAATTACCTCATGGCAAATCCATGTATGTTGTATGAAAAAGTAAGATTCCTAAGCCCCTCTTTGAATGACTAAGTGCCATTAATGTTTTTTGATTGAAGGAGTTTCTGAATGTTTTTGTTCCTAGGTGAACGGCTGTTTCCTCTTATTCAAGCCATGCACCCTACACTTGCTGGTAAAATCACTGGCATGTTGTTGGAGATTGATAATTCAGAACTACTTCATATGCTCGAGTCTCCAGAGTCTCTCCGGTCTAAGGTAGTGTGTTTGTCTTACGTGTATGTTCCAGGCTTGCTTGGGGTAGTGGGTGGCCGGTACTGGGGCTTGAACCATGGCTTTGCACTTGCAAGTCAGGTGCCCTACCACTTGAGCCCTTTTTGTTCTAGTTATTTTGAAGATCACTTATTACACAGGCCAGCTTGGGCTGCAGTCCTGTTTTAAGCTTCCCACCTTTACAGAGATGACCTGTGCACTACTACTTTGAGCTCCCCCCCCCCCCCGCCCCCAATGAGATGGGGCAGGGGTGATTTACAACTTTTTTTTTTTCTCCTGGGCTGGCCTAGAACTAGTCATCCCAATCTCAGCCTTCCAAGGATTATATGCATGAACCACCAGTGCCTAGCATTTGGGGGGCCAGCCAGTGCTGGAGATTGAACCCAGGGGCGGTGGCCATGCTAGGCAAGTGTTCTGTTGCTTAAGTACACCACCAGCCATGTGGAGTTTTTATAGGAGCACAAAACATTTACACAAGCCACATACAATCCTAGAAGCTTCATAAGCACTGTAAATCCTCAGTAATTTGTGGTGCTTGTTGTCCCATTTTACAGATAGAGAAACTGAAGCATAGAGGGGTTGAGTTATTTGCCCAATGCTCGCACTGCTAGTAAGTAGATGGCAGAACCTGTATTGAAATCCAGTCAGTTGAGTTTAACATCCATACTGATAACTGCTGCTTCTTACAGTAATTCTTGGCACTTTGGTGTAAGGATAAGAGCTTGTCATGGTGGCAAGTAGGCCTATTCTTCATTTCTTTTTTGGTGCTAGGAATTGAACCCAGGGCCTTGCTCAGCACATGCTCTACCCCCTGACCCGAACCCCCAGATTCCATGTCCACTTTTTTGGTTTTTTGGTGGGTCTAGGATTTGAACTAAGGGCCTTGCACTTGCTAGATAGGCAGTCTCACCTCTTGAGCCACATTCCTGGCTCTCATAGCTTTATTGTTAATTATTTTTTCTTTCTGTGGTGGTTTATTTGGCCCCTTCTTTAGGTTGATGAAGCTGTAGCTGTACTACAAGCCCACCAAGCTAAAGAGGCTGCCCAGAAAGCAGTTAACAGTGCCACCGGTGTTCCAACTGTTTAAGTGAGTTTTCCGCCTGGTTCATTGTCATCAGTTTCTTTCCTCCATCGTTTATAACAGTTTGCTGAGCATATTTTGAAACATACATAGCAAAAGTTCACTTTACAAGTAATTTAAATGTACTGTTAGTTTTCCAGAGGTATAAAGGAACTTAAGGAAATTTTGCTGTTATCCTAGTATTGACAAGCATCTTTTAAATCACAGCACTTTCAGAGTGTAGTAATTTAAATATAAGAATTGGCTTTCGTAGAAAGCAAGGCAAACAGCCTTTGCCACATTGCTTTGTATTACTCAGGTGTGACTAGGAAGGAAGCAGTAAGCTTTTTGTAAAGGCCAGTGTTGGGTGGTTATGTAAAGGAATGGGTGTTGTTAATTAAGTTGCTATTAACAAGTTCCAGTATTGGCCTTCTTAATTGTTTTATTTTGGTTTTGTTTTGCATTTACAGATCGATCAGGGACCACGAAAAGAAACTCGTGCTTCACCGAAGAAAAATATCTAAACATCGAAAAACTTAAATATTATGAAAAAAAAACATTGCAAAACATAAAATAAATAAAAAAAGGAAAGGAAACTTTGAACCTTATGTACCGAGCAAATGCCAGGTCTAGCAAACAATGCTAGTCCTAGATTACTTGATTTAAAAACAACAAAAAAAAACCACAAAAAAAAATAGTAAAATATAAAAACAAATTAATGTTTTATAGACCCTGGGAAAAAGAATTTTCAGCAAAGTACAAAAATTTAAAGCATTCCTTTCTTTAATTTTGTAATTCTTTACTGTGGAATAGCTCAGGATGTCGGTTCTGTTTTAAGTAACAGAATTGATAACTGAGCAAGGAAACGTAATTTGGATTATAAAATTTTTGCTTTAATAAAAATTCCTTAAACAGTGGACGGTTATGCTTTTATTTTAATTTTCTTGGTAATAGGCATGTCTAAAAAGGTAATGGCTGATGAGAATCTCTTCCATTTAAAAAACAAGCACAGGACCATTCTGAAGTGAAAAGATAACATTTCATGCACGAAATGAATACCAATCTACTTTTGAAATATGCCAGTTTATATTAAGGATAAAGCAGTAATCTATTGGAGAAGAGGCTGTAGATATTTATAGGCTTTGGTATAATTTTTCTACTGATTAATAATTTTAAGTGTCTTTTTTTCTTGGGGTGCCTCGTACGTGCTAAGCATGCACCACCCACCACTGAGCTAAACTCCCAGCTCCTACACTTTATTCTTGAAAGGTCTTTAATTGGGTGGTTAATGATTATGACTTAATCCTACAATGCTGTAATACCTCATCACCCAGAGTGATGTTATGGGTGAAGATGTATGGTTTCCTTTGTTTAGGGTGAAGATGTATGGTTTCTCCTTAGGATGAGTGTTCTCCTTTGTTTAGGACAAAATGAATGGGTTCTAGTTCACAGATAATGTCACTGGCCTCAGGCCTAGAATATTTGCATAGAACTTCCAGGCCGCTTCATTTTAGAAAATAGTTAGTTTTAAACCCCTGTCCCATTCTAACATACTACAGCCAGACCAGCGTTTACTTTGTTAAGTTGCACATATCTCATGACCATGCTAGAAACAAGTCTATTGTGTTTGGTATTAAAATAAGACTGACTTTGTCTTGAAGCTTAAAAAGCATATACAAAACACCCCTACCTTCCTACTCTGGCTGAGAATCATTGTGTCCAGTGGACAGTCTTAATTATTTTCTATTTTGTCTGTCCATAGACTGGCAGGCAGTTGATAGGAACAATTGCTCTTGGGTCTGAAAGATTTTAAGTGCTTAGGGAAGTATCCTATCTTTCTCAAAAGAGGTTTTAAAGGAAGGAGCAGGCCTTTGTTCCAGACACTCAAGTTACCTGTGAGGTTCTTAAACATAAGTGACTGGGATTCTGTATTTCTTGCTGGATACGAAGATAAACCACATCGATCTGTGTTGGAAATGTCCATTTTCTTAGATGTAGCAAATTTGTGTGAGTTGCGCAGGGGCCAACAAATCTGCAAAGTAGACCTTTGTGATCTTGTACGATTTATTTTAGGAGATAATTGGCAGTCATTACTTACAGATTCTGTATTTGCAAGTTTGCCTACTCTAATTTGTAACCCCAAAATTGATGCTTCTTGCTGCTTTCAGTCATTCACAGAGTACAGCGCAGCAAAAATGTGTCACTTGACATGTACCTTTCCACAGATGAAGTTCATGTTCCCTTGTTTCAGCTGTCACTATAAATGTGTCCCTTTCACTATGTTCATAATTTTAAACTCTTGGTGATTTGGCAGTCTAAAATGCTACTAAGTGCAGGGCAGAGAGCTGTGTATATGGTGTTGCTATGAACCTTAGGGAAGAAATGATGGGTGTTATGTAAACTTCATACAGGAGTTAAATGAGTTAGGGTGCTATTGACTGGGTTCAATGTTAAAGGTTAAATAGGTGTCAATTATCAAATACATGACAGGCTTATGGAAGAGGCACTGATTATTTGCTTATTCATAGAAATAACTGCTTGAATAATGACAGTTGACTATATCTGCTAAATACATAGTTCTTAATCTACAGTGGTTTGTTTCATACTCCCTAGTTTTATAGGATTTAAGGTGGAAAGCAGAGTACAACTTTTGGACAATCATATATATTACAGAGTTTAATCTGTATCATTTGGGAGTTTTCACAAGACTTGACAAGTGACTTCTCTGTGTGTACTATATATATATGGGTCAATTGGGAACTTCTAACCCAGAATCTTCATTTCAACATGTATACTAAGACTTGCATTGATAAATAAGCTTCAATTAATATGCCTTGTTTACAGTATGCTGTCTGATTACACATTTCGTGCAGCTCAAACTAACACCCCAAGTGAAAGATACTATGGAGGATACTTGGAAATTTTCTTCCTATGGCCCCAGGTTACTCACCTGCAATGAATATATGAGGTTCTAGGTAATTAGATGGAAGCAAAGTGAAGTAAGTTTCAGTCTGATTGGAAGCAGAATGGGTAGTGTTGGTCAACATACTGGTCAATGCTGTCAAGCATGATATTTTGATGCATACTTCTGCTTGAGACCTGACCAGTCCTGGGGACCTTTGGACAATGCCCAGAACTTCACTGAATTCTTTTATCTTTCTTTGCCTCCTATTTATGTCCTTGCTGTAAATAGAGCCTGTTCTCAGTGATACAGTTTCATAGATTAGGTTTAATGGTTCTGGTTTGCTACTTTTCTGTGACTGGTCACTTGGATACATCTCAGGTGTTGCTGTGTCTTCTCAGTCACCTGGTTTCAGGTGCTGTGTGGCTGTATGCCAGAGTTACAGGGTAGCCTAATTACACATTTTAGATGATACCTTAGCCTTTTGACCACCATGATCGTAACAAATTTGGGATTGTATTATGTACAGAGGTAGAATGTAGAAAAACGTGCAATTTTTAACTAGGTCAAACTAACACTGATGAAAAAGCATTTCACTTTGGAAGTCGAGGACGTTTATATTTTTCAGGAAGACCCCACAAAGCAAATAATCATTGATAAAGCATGAATGAGCACATGGTTGTGGTTGGTTGTGGATTTTTTGTTTCTATACCCACCACAAGTAAAAACCTGTGATAACATGGAATATTTTTTCTTAGCTAATTTCAAATTGCCAACTAGATGTGCTAGCCTGGTGTTCAAAAGTGCTTTCTTAGCTGGTAAATGTTAATATTTCCTACACTAAGTCAATAGAAAACGTTTGTCCATTTTTTTGAGCATAGGAATTTATAGGTATAAAACGAATCAAATGTTAGGTTGTGTGCTAAACACATCCTTTTACTTTTTAACTTAAGTTTATAATGGACCTAATTTTGTACAGGTAAATTTATAAAGTGGTAATCCTTCATGATACTGTGATGTTCTGGTAATTTGGTGGCACCACAAATTTGGTGGTTCCTCAGCCAAAGTTGAGGAACCAAACTTGTGCACTAAATGGAAGTTAGGGGCACCTGAGCAACTGATTTTTTAAAAAAAATTATTAACATGTATTAGTTGTACAGGGGGGTTTCGTTGTGACATTTACATATGGCTGGCAATGTATCTTAGATTCACCTCCTCCCATCCTCCCTTATTCCTCTCCCTTTGAACAATTTCAACAGGTTTCATTCTATTTTCATACATATGTACAAAGTACGTGGTCATATTCACCCTCCACTTACCCTTGCTGTCCCACTGGCCCTCCCCTGGACAGGGCCTATTTTACCTTCCTGTCCTTCATTTTTTTAAATGTATATTGATTGCTCAAGGGGGTTATCACCTTGGTATTTCACACATGTATTGATCATTTTATTGACATTAACTCCTATTGCTCTTTGTTGCCCTGCTCCCCTGTTACTCAACTGTGTGTAATGCCTTTCATTATACTATCTTCATACGCAGATAAAATGTATTTCAATACTATGCACTCATTCTCATTTCCTCTCCCACCTCCCCATTAGAACTGTGATTCTTAAGGTGGCCGGAATTCTGTTTTAAAAATCAGAATTATTTTTTGTAATAGTGGAAAAAACAACTGGTTTAAAATTAACTGTAATTGCTATTAAGCAGTAACAAGTCAAGCAGACTTTCTTCTTTGGCAGTGCTGGGACTGGACCCATAACCTTGGTGTTTGATAGGCAAGTACCACTGAACTATGCTGCCAGCCCTCAAATGAGCTCTACATGCACTATCTCACTTAATTCTTATAACCACCCTGTGAGGTTGATTCAGTAATACAGTACTGTTCTACAGATGAAGAAACTGAAGCTTCAAGAAGTGATCTGCCCAAACTTACATACTAAGTGGTGATGGAGTTGGGATTTGAACCTGGGCCTATGGGGCTCTAGAGTTCGGATCTTAGACTTGGCATAAATTGTCTATTAAACCACAAAAAAGCAAACTCCATAAAATCTCAGGTATTTGAGCTACCTTTGGCCTGGAGAATGGGAATGGGGGAACCACAGCTAGCAATTTTTATTTTAATCACAATATGTAATAGTAAGCCAAAACAAGATGGTTTTCTGTGGCACATTTTGAGGCAGTCAAAGGGGAATGAGAAAATCATTAGAAGAAAAAGGACTTCTGGATATAAAATTGAAAGAATATTTTCTTCACCTGAGCATCATGGACTGCCTGGGAATATCAAACATTCATTCCTCTGAACGTACTCATTCCCATTTTAGGTTCTCTTAGAATTGATAAATGGACTTACAAAACCTTTTAATAATAACATAATTATATAATAACAAGACAAGAGTTGATTTTTCTTTTTCAGTACTGGGGTTTGAGTTCAGGGCCTGAACCTTGAGTCACTCCACCAGACCTTTTTTGTGACAGGATTTTCGAGATCGGGTCTTGCAACTATTTGCCCAGGCTGACTTTGAACCGCAATCCTCCTGATCTCTGCCTCCTAAATAGCTAGGATTACAGGCGTGAGCTACCAGTGCCCAGATAATTAAAGAGTTTTTATAAAATATTTGGAGTTAAAATCCTAGTCATGTATTGCGCATTTGTTCTAGTTAGGAAATGTCAACCTTTTCTCAACAGCTCTTAAAAAATACATTGGATAAAATGCCAATTGCAAGAAGAGACGTCCAACAAACGGAATGCTTTATTTTGAATAAGTAATATAATAAAAGTAAGTGACAAAAGCCT